CCCCCGCCTCGCCCCGCCCAGCATCGATCCGCGCCGCCCGCTGCACGCCGCCGCCTGCACCCGCATGTAAACACCGCGCCCCCGCCCCGCGCCGCGCCCCGAGCCCCGCACCGTGTCCTCGTTAATCTTAAATCCATATCTGTGCGCCGCGGCACGCCCCCGGCTGCGAACGCGAGCTCGCCCTGCCGGTGTCGTTCGCATTTGGAAACTCTATTACCCGGATTTTAAAACGAAACATATCTTCGATTTACCGTTGTTGCGACTCGTCTGCCGCAGTGCACTTCTATTAGCCGTATACACAAACCGCAGGCGGTCCTAATTGCCTCAGACGCAATAACAGTCTCCCTCGCGCCGGCCGGAGCACCCCGCGACCCCCGGCTGCGCTTTGCGGTCCGACACACGTTTCGCATTAACAACACGCATCACAATGCCTACGCCTAGTTAAGCGTAAACTATTTATGGGAACGAAACACAAATTACTGACGAAACTTTATTCACTGGCGCAGTTACCCTGCGAAAGCCAACTCAGAAACTGGAAAGATTTACTTATATTGTAAAAAAACTGTTAGAAATTAAGGCAACGCAACATTTAGTTTTATGATTTTCCTTCCTAATTTTATACATCTGCCATGGAGGAAGGGCATTGAATAAAAAGTAAAAATTAGGAAGAGAGCTTTAACTACCCAAAATCAATAAATAAGAAATTTCCACGTTTCGGCCATTTCACCAGGCTGAGTGTTGTTGGTTTTACTGTGTCGCAATAGATGGTGCTGTTTCAGCATTGAACTCAATTTTTTACCAGTTTAAGTGTAATAAAAATAAAATAAACTGTTTATAATATTACAAAAATTGTTCTTTTGTTTAACATGATGAAATATATTTCTTTAATCTTGGAATATTTACCAAACTCGCAAAAAGATCTAGAGATATTTCTATCACCTAGAGGGCACTGTTTTAAACATGTCTCTGTCGGCATATTTTGGACATGGATTTTGAGTACAGCGACATCTATTAAGTGAAAATGACATATGTCAGGAATTATTTTGGCGGTTTTACGAATTTGCCAAATCCAGATAACATAAAAAAAATATATTCTAGACTTTCCTGACGTAGATCATACCTGCCCATTAACTTTTACTAACGAGAATAAAAGTCCGCGATTTTTGAAGAAACTTTAGAATCACATAAGACTCATGAAATAAGATATTAATTGAAATCCATGATCAATAAAGTTGTACAAATTAATTCATTTAATCATGTTAAAACTTGTTTAGGCCAAACACAAATATTTGATTTCATTGGTTTCATATTTATCGAACATTAACACAGTGCGAGTTGGTTGGTCGAGATGTCAAATGTGACATTTTGCGTCTCCGCATGCAGCTCCGCGCGCGCAAACGCATACAATTTCTTTCTTTGTAAAAAATAACAGATTTTATAGCCTAACCAAGAAAATATTAAACATTGCCTTATTACGGGAAACTTATCTAATTTAATTTCGTCTTTTAGTATCAGCAATTTCTTTTTAAACGATTGATTTGAGATGCATTTAAAAAAGTAATATGTAAAAAATAACAAATAAATGAAATACCACACTTGGAATGTATTTTTTCTTGATAAAAATTAATTAACATAGCTTATCTATCTTTGGTTGAACTTTTATAATACTGCTTATCAAGAACTTTTCTTTTTCGAGCCGACTTTATAATCATGTATGGCTTTCAATAAATATAAAGATCCCACAATAATAACTATAGCCGTGCCAGTAGCTACCACGTAGTAATGGTCCGTATTACCAACAGGTACGTCCCAGATAAGCGTGTCCGTTAACTGAAATAAGAAACAAAATCATATAGCATTATCTACAACTTTTATGTACAATCACAACAACAAAAACACCAAAAATCTGACCGAAATTCTGATGAATGAAATAGCGCCATCTATTGACTAAATTTTAAAACAAAGTTTTTTTTTTAACTAAATAAACTGTAAGATTATATGTGATACTTTCTTATTTTAGCATTAATTCGTAAAAAATAAAAATAAATTTAGCAATTTGTTTTTTACGTCCACTGTATGTGTTTTGTGCCTATATAATATGACACTCTGGAGAAGAAAATTTAAATAACACCTCACTCATCAAAATTGGTTGAGTTCAGGATCTGAATCAGAAATGAATTTGCGTACATACATATTATCTTCATAATATAAATGTGAATATAAAAATGGATGAATGGATTGATGGTTTTGTTTGAAGATAGATGGCTCAATTGATCTTGTTGACATTAGGCATAGATGTAGAACATAGTCTGGAAGAACACAAAGTCTACTGATTAACTTTTCTTTAATACCGCACAGACGGAGTCGCGGGAGACAGCTAGTTAATATATAAAATGGATAACTACAATAAAACAGCAACCTAAAGTGGGCCTATGTCTGTTCTCCGGCTAAAAGTCTCCAGTTTAGAACATATGCAAACTCAGTCAAGTCTAATACGTTTTTTTGTTCATTTTACCATTTTATACGATATTTCTTTCCACTTGCATTTCTCTCTTGAACTTCCATTACACAGAAATACTATAGGAGTGTCATTCATACTGCATGCATCCAGTCTTTTGTCTGGACAAGCTAGGAAGAGTGTTGGTGGGCCAATCCTATTCCTTGCAGAACTGTAAAAAACACGTTTTCATAAACTCTAAAGTACTTATCACCATTATTTCGAATTTTACTATAATAATATTATAAATGTAGTTTGTTTGGATGGATTGATGGTTGTTACAAGGTACCACCGGAACTGCTCAACTGTTCATGATAAAATTTAGCACATAGCCTGGAGAATACATAGGCATTAAGAATATTAAGATTTTCATTTAATTCTGTCCAGACAGAGTCGCAGGTGACAACTTATGTATATAACACTATGATACAGTTATCAATAGAAGAGTTTTTATATAGTCTTTGAATTTATGGTAAAATTAAATAATAATTCATGAAACGGTGTCACTTTGCTAATAAATCTTTTGATTTTTTACTTACCCCCCACCAGCAACAGCTCGGTGATATCTAGCATGTACTGGTAACCATAGATTAACTCTACCATCAACAATCTTCCCAGTTATGTAAACATTGTTTGGCGTTGAAAGTTCAGTTGGTAATTCTATGTTAACAGGGTTTTTTAGAACGGCATTCAACTGGACATAAAACATAGCACACATAAAATTATTAATATTCTTAGACATTATTTTGTTATAGTACTTTTGTTTTATATTTCTTTTCAAGAGGACAGTTTTATTGTGATTTTTGAAATATTGTGGGTTGTAGTTGTAGTACTGAAAAACTTGTACAAAAACATATACCGTCCTCCTTATTTACTTTAAAAAAACGAGATCAAATATAAAAACAAAAACAGAGAAGAAAATCTTCGTTACCATACCTTTTTATTTCTCCTCAAGTCACTTAATTCATCAGGGTTAGCGAACACGCCGGCCGGTAGTCTTTGTGTTAAACCAATCATGCAACCATCGTACAACCATCTCTCATCGTTCTCCGTATTAAATATAATGCCATAGGTAATGTTTCTGCAACAGTTAAAGGTTCAATAAAATTATGCAAATTATCACTAACTCTCGTTATAGTATTAATTATTTACCTATGAAAACCTTCATTTTTTAATGTTTGTTTAACTTTTATATCGAACTTACAAAAGTTAGAAGCCAAACAAATAGTTTGTGTAATAAACAGAGCACCCAAGATTAAATAGTTTCTAAAGAACGCACGAATGTTTGAAGCCATTTCTTTAATTTATTTCCTGTGTCATATTTTTAACATACTTATTAAATAGAACTTATTTCATTTATATTCCGGTTTATATTCTCACTTTCTTTTGATAAATATTTCATAAATTCTGAAATGACATTGACATTGACGTTCGCAACAGACTGACAGATGACACCTGATACATCCAGTCGTTCAAAAACTAAATTCGTTTAGAATAAACTAAAGCGTTTAGATTGAAAAAAAACTATTGTAAATAAAATAATAATAATATATTCCAGCCACAATTTTTTCTTCATGATAAACAAAATTATTTATCTATTTATTATGTTTACTTTTAATTTACAACTGCATTATCAAAAATTCAATGCGTTATAATTTTACGAGTAGTTTTACAAAGCATCCTTTAGTGCATATCCCGTGATATTCCTTTATTTTAATGTGTCTGCTAAACTATAGAAAAGGGGTGACTATGATAAGCTTAATGGACTAAACTTTTAAACTACTGGTCTTTTCATCATCTGGATGGATGGATGGATGGATGTCTGATCTTCGTGAAAATTCAGTAAGATTCTGTTGACAAGGGATGGGCTGGTATAAACTAATAATAGGCGATCCGCTGTCGGTGGAAAATGCTATCCCTAAAGGGATTGAAGGCAGAACAGTATTTAAGGTAGGACATATATGTTTTACAATCTTAAATATAGAGGGAGGTGTGAATTGAAGATTAGTTTTTTAAAACCTAGCCGAAACAATATTAAGTTGTAGAAGTACAAATACGTTGAAGGAAAATTACGACTAAAAAGGTCATATTTGTCGTGAACAGCGATTTCAAGTCAAACAATAGCGTTCTGTAGAAGTGTTTAAGATTGAAAATAATCGGAATCAAGATATGGTGTTTTGAAAGACTCGTTAAATCTACAAACAAGTGTATGACGCATTGGTTGGAATTCCCTAGCTCGCAATAAACTGGAGCATTTATTATTTCCAGGAACATTTCTACTTTGTTATGTTATGTAGTGTATGGGTATTGCTAATACATATATATTCACAGTATGTCTTTGACGAGCTTGAATAGGTACTTACCACGAAATGCATACTAAAGCATCCAGTAAATACTAAGTAAGTTTTTTGTTGATCAAGTAATGAAAAGATCTCCATAATACTTAAAAAAGTTAAGTTTTCTTGATGACGAACATATCTTTTGTCACGCCCTTAAAGCTACTATTCCAGCTTTTGATCGCGGGCTACTCCTCTTATAACAATAAGAGATGTTTTCGCCTTGGTACAGCGAATTTCAATATTTGCCTATATACTACCATGAAACATTGCAGATGTCCATGGTTGTCGTTGAACACCTCCGTGTTCCATTTACTCGTTTGCCTCCTTATCTTATTAGAAAAATGCTAATAAGATGACATATTCACGCCTGCATAATTAACATGTCTAGCACAAACCATTTCAAGGGCAATGAAGTAACTCGTAGAATAATTTGGCGTATATAATTATGATTCGCTAATGAATTTTACATGAATCAGAAGTTTTACCGGTAAAATGCGTTGTTTAAAAACGGTTGCTCACGTTGCGAGACGGAGCGGCGGTTTGGCGGCTCCGAGGCCCGCCGAGCAAAGCGAGTCATTGATGACCGAACTAAACTATGGTGACTAGGCATTACAATTACTGTGGGTAATTGTACATTTTACATTAACTACTTAAAACCGGATTTAACTGGCCTGCAACGTATCTCTGGTTCCTCAGGTATTGCAAATATCCATGCATGTCGAGGAACACCTCGGTGCTCCCTCTCGTTTGCCCCTGGTAAAAAAAGAAGTTTCTATAAAAATACCAAGGTGTCGCAAACGGACCATCGTTTTTCATATAGAATTACAAGTCAACGACCAGTTTATAGGATAGCCTTCAAGTTTTCCTTGATTGATGAGTGGAAAGAAAACGTAAAGGTCACCTATGTTTCAAGATTTACCTCATTCATCTGTCGTATGTGTTTGTACCGCGATAAATATGACCAGCCCATAGAGCCTTTAATTTTATCACAGGGGGGGAATGACAATAAACGGAACCCTGTAGCCTCATTAACTCTTAGGTGGATGCAGTAAACTTTAATAAACTTACCGAGCAAGAATATCAAAATATTCTGTGGGCTTGTTAATGCAATAGAAGCTCTGAAACTCTCTTAGGAAGACCTTTAATTTGATTCCTTGGTTGAAATGAGACTTATCAAGGAATCTGCCGGATGTAAAAAAGGTACTTGGTAACATTCCTGCTTGTATTCCAATAAGAAAGTCCTATCTGGAAATGTTGGTCACCCTACATAACAACAGATCAGCAATCAGCGAGTGAGCCGGTCCCGTCAGTTTGCGTGTAAACTAGCGAGCGGTAGCTCGCGTTTCGTTTTCATTCTTTACGTGAAATTTTAAAATTTTGTGTATTATACACTGCGTGAGTTGTGCCAACCAACACTCTTGTCTCCGATTTGGACGATTTTGAGGTTAGTTTCGTTTAATTGTTATTTGCGAGTTGTTTAACGGTACGTATAGATTCTTGTTTGTGATTGTAATGGCGGGGGCAAGTATTTTACGAGACTGGGTTATCATTTACCTTAGGGTCGCTAATTAGACTTGTATGGCTTTGTTTGAAGCATCTTAAGATCTTAGAAAGTGCAAATACTTTCGTTTCACTGTTGAAAACAAACTTTGTATAATTGTTTATTTTCTAGACGTAATACGTAGTTATTTTATGTATTCGAAATTATAAAGAATTTTTCCTTTTTGTAATAAAACAAACAAATATGATGTTTATTAAAATCTAAATATTTAAAGCGGCAAAGTATTATAATTGAACTGTGAACATACAAATAGCTATATTTTATTTCTCTTATGTTTATATTTCATGATTAGAGTCTGTAATTTCTTCGATTGTTTTTCAATTGATTTTATATTCTTACATCTGATGTTTTGTTTATAATTATATAAACTATCATTGAACGGTTCATTGTTACTTTTATTATACTTTCAAGATCGTTTATGTTTACATATTTCAATTTGATTATTATAATAGCGTTTTAAAGAAATAAAACACAAAGGTACGATAGCCGATTGATTAGTTTGTCCGTTTTATATGGACTCCAAGGATTGATTGCGATAAAGGGTCGTTTATTAGCATCTAAGATTTTGGTAAGCTTGCTAGGTTTTAAAATATGTTTAATTTAATTAAGACTAAAGTAAATGAAACCGTTCATGTCATTTACAGCAAATACTGAGGAAATTTGCAAAAGTAGGGGACTACCGCCAGACCTAGCCTAGATCAGACTAGGGAAGTCCCTTGTACTCTTCCGTACATCTCTTACGCTTTCTGTTTCACACAATCCATCTATGTATATTGTCTACGGTCTTCTACCTTTATATCACAAAATCACAAATATTTTGACATTAAAGTTGTGATTTAACTGTTTCCCGGTGTTGTTTTACAAAACGGGCATATCGGAAACAAACTAGTTTTTGCACAGTTACCGGTAATTACAAACAGACAATTTAAAAGTTCGCGTGAAAACCATTATCCTTGAAATGCAGTGCGTAACATATTATTTAAAACAGTTTGTAGGCGTGTTTCTTGAGATACCACGCAGCTAATTTCGTAAGAATCTGGTCGTAGGTAGCAACTGTATACACATTAATCGATTTATCTATCAGCTAGTTTTCATTATCAATAACTTCATATAGAAAATTATTGTTAATTTTCTATTATTTTATGTGGCTTTGCTCAATAAGCAACTCAAGAAAGTCAGTTTGGCATGTCAAAAATCACTCGTTAGAATCAATCCCGTTTTACTTGCATTCCTCCTGTGGTATCCGAGAATCCTTACGCATCTGAAAACCAGTTTTTTGCATAGTTATTCATGTGCTGTTTTTAAATATTTTTTTAAGGATTTAGTGTGGGTTTCTGAGACTAAAAACATTGTTTTGTGATCGAAATTAATGACGAACAATTTGAAATATACATCGACATCTAAACCTACCAAGAGTTAGATGATAAATCTATCTAAATATAGCAAGATAGAGGACAAAAACCTAGATATTAGATCTCAAAATATTATCACATCTCTCTGTCCGTACCCCACAATAAGGATAGGTATATTATATAATAATAACGCATAAATGATGTATAATTCTTGATGTATTTTTCTCATTTAAAATTATTGAAAATAGTCGTTTTCTCACGTACAAATAGGTGCAAAAAACTTAACTATAAATATAGTTCAAGCTGTGAGAGTCACCTGATAGATTGTTATGCAAATTATATAAATGAAGAATAATTTGCATATCTTGTAATTGAAATTCAATACGTTGATAATAAAGAAAAGGACAATTATACTCTTTAATTAATTTCTTTTTGCTAATGTTTATATTTAACTAGCTGTCACCAGCGACACCGTCCGCGCGGACCTAAAAAATCATAATTAATTGTTGTTGTGTTCTTCCAGATTATGTTCTACATCTGTGCCAAATTTCACCGAGATCCGTTAAGCCGTTTCGGAGATACCTTCAAACAAACATCTCAACTTTCATATTTATAACGTTAGTAAGATTCATTTATATTAATCTACAGTTTATGGAAAGAAGTCCAATGGATCAATCACCAATCTCCAAAGACAAATGACATTTCATCCATGGGTAGGATATTAAAGTCCTCGGCTATACAATATTAATCGATGTTATAATCGTCTTGCGTGCATTCACATCGTGATGTTGTAATTTAGTATGTCAATATGGCGTCATAAGATGTAAGCACATGATGCGATGACTCCTCAGTTATACAACATCATGTGGATCCAATTTACTCGATTATCGAACTGCATCGAATAGAGCAATCGATTAATAATAGAGCGTGTCTTGAAAATCGATTGAATGGAACCGATTATTCTAATGAGACGCGAGAAATTCTTTACATTTAAAATATCAGAAGAAATGTTCATGATAAAAATAAAAAATATTAAATCTTACTAAATTACTTTACTAATATTATAAATGCGAATGTTTAGATGGATGGATGTATTTAGAAGATATCTCCGGAACAGCTTGGATATCGCTGAAATTTGGCATATATGTAGAACATAGTCTGGAAGTACACATAGGCTACTTAAGTTTTTTTTTAATTCCGCGTGGATGGAGTTGTTGGAAACTAGTGCCTTTATAAGTTTATACTGACCGAAAATAGTATCAACTCTTTCATTTTCTTTGATAGAAAAGAGATAACAATAGGTATTTTACAGATGTGACAGAACAAACTCTCGGTTTTTTTTTATAACATAAAGTGGCAAACGAGCGAGCGGCCACCTGAAATCGCGCAAGTAGCGAAGTGACCGTTGCCCATAGACATACGCAATTGCATATGCGTTGCCTTCCTTTAATCGACGGAGGAGATGATGCACAGAAAGAAAATATTTTCTCTTCCCATGCATCCTCTCATCCGGAAAGTCCACTTCCACTTCCCATCCTTTCCTTATAAGAAAAAGGATGGGAAGGCAAAAAAGACTAAATTAGGCCTCCGAGACGCACAATCATCAGACGAAACGCGGAATTGCTTCCACTTGACGCCTGTCTTTTGTATGGTCGTGGTATTTCACCGGGCGAGCCAGGCCGATTCGTGCGAAGATGTTAAAGCGGGCTCTACCACTGTCGGTATGATATAAATATATTTACAAATGTAGTTAACAAAGTTCTGTCATGTAAAGTTAGCATTTTGAACTTACGATTTTATACGTATCAAACATAATTTAGAATTGATTAAATCTTTAATTAAAATCCTTTAATTCATAGCAAGAATTTGAATAGCAATAGTAACAATTTACATTTTGTCTATTTTTTTGCAAAATCGTAGCAGATTTTTATTAATTTGCTAATATTTATTTTGGTGTTTCGTTCACAGGTATTATGCTAGCTGGTTTAGGTAATTATATTCTGTAGTCAACATTCAACACGTTTGTGTTGCCAGTCAAAAAATAATTAAGAAAAACGGTAGCATGCATGGCCTCAGCCAGTGATTGTGTCTACATTGTGGGTCAGGGTAGGCATGTTACCGCACGTAGTACACGGACCACAAGAAATGTCGCCTGATATTTAACAGATCTTTCCGGTACTCTTTCCTTATTTAGTGTTACCGGAAATTCTTTTACCGTGAAATCGATAAATTAATTTAGAGGAATTTTGTATCGTGTAATTTTTGAGTAAATTGGATAGTATTTTTTACATAGGATTGATTCGACAAACACAATGAAATGCTGTTATGGCCAATCAATATCACTTTAAGACCGGCAATGCATCTGCGGTTCCTCTGATATTGCTGATGTCCATGGGCGTCGTTGAACACCTCGGTGGTCCCGCTGCTCGTTTGTCACCTTCTGTTATATAAAAAAAAAAACTTTAGTTAACTCACAAGTAAAAGAACAATGAATACAAAAAATCATCTTTATACATCAGGACATATGTCTTACTAATATAAATGCGAAAGTTTAGATGTATGGATGGATGGATGTTTGAAAGTATCTCCAGAACCGCTATCAGATCTCGATTAAATTTTGCATATATGTAGAACATAGTCTGGAAGAACGCATTGGCTACTGATTATGTTTTTTTTAATTTCTTGAAGACGGAGTCGCGGGCGACAGCTAGTTAGGTCATATGAAAGTGTATTTTATAAGATTTTAAATACGTTAATAACCACACTACATTAGCACTATTAATTTGCAAATCAATTGATTAATTTTACTTTAAACTACGTATTTAAAATAATTTATCAATCACGTATGGAGGTTATGCTTTCCAACTTCCTCCTTCGCTTGACCTTCCATACGTGTGGTCCCTTTGAGGTTAACAGCATGCCCCTAAATCGTATCTGGTTCACCTTCGATCGACCCCTTAGGCGGTCTTGCAAAACGCGTTCCAACCTTACATTATAAGATCCATCTTTATAGGTATTCTAATAACGCAATGTTAGGACAATGATCTTTATTCTTATGTAACCTTTATTTAACTTACAAAATATTACTATTAGCTGTATCAACATTGAAATTTTCCATTCACAAATCTGCGTTTGTTCCAACTGACTCAGAACTTTTCGCGCGAATGTGTGCTTAAAAGATTGACTCATAGTAGGTTTTTGATTCCAAAATCTCTATCAAATATATCGTCAACCCTGTCATTTGATAAAACAGAAATATCAAGTTATATACTGGGATTTTGTATATGGGATATATGTGGGCATCTGTGGCTCAGTGGTCAAGCACTTGACTTGCAATCTGCAGGTCCTGGGTTCGAATCCCGCCATGTATCAATGTGTTTTTCGATTTCCGATTTACATATGTATATTTATCCGACGTTTTTCGGTAAAGGAAAGATGATGCAACCTGCACATGTCTGAGAAGAAATTCAAAGATATGTGTGAAGTCAATTGTTAACTACACTATTGTAGCGTAAACAGGTCTGAATTTAA